CAATTAGTATTGGTTTATGATAAAAATAGGAATGCCATCACCTTGAGAATTTTTTCATAATTCAAATAAATATCAACTTTTTACACACACACAAAAAAAGAAGAAGAAGCAGCATTATCTGTCATTTAATTTATATGTATGCATGGTCCTTCTATAACTATGAATCATGATGCAGGTCTTCCATGCACCCTTTCAAACTCTTTTTCTTCGTGAACTCGATTATTGTTTTTTACGCACTTTTGGCTGCGCATGTTGGCCAAACTTACGTCCATACAATAAAAATAAACTCCAGCCACGGTTTCTATCATGTCTCTTTTTAGGGTATAGTCCTCTTCACAAAGGGTACAAATGTCTTCATTTACCATCTAATAGAGTTTATATTTCAAGGGATGTGGTTTTTTAATGAGAATGTTTTTCCATGCAAGTCTGCTTCTCCTCCATCCCCTTTACCCACTAACATGTTTCTTCAGGTGTTCAACAATCCAAATCCACTAGTAATTCCTCATGACTATGGGCCCACGGCAGCATCTTCTTTGGACACTCCATCATCAACAACAAATACCATCAGACCACCTCTTGATACAACTCCATCCCCCAGTCCATCATTATCTACATTAAATCCCATATCTTCCCCTCCCTTACCTACTCCTTCCCATCTAACTCTCTCTATCACCAATACACCACCGCCCACCCCCTCATCAATTCACCCCATGACTACACGTTCCAAGAACCTCATCACCAAGCCCAAAATTCTTACTGATGGCACCGTCCGTTACCCCTTTCCCCGAGCCCTCCTTGCCGAGTCTACTCAATCTTCCATGGAACCCACCTGTTATTCCACTGCCATGAAAAACCCAAATTTGAGGAACACCATGAATGTCGAATTTGATGCCCTTTTGCAAAATCAGACGTGGTCCTTAGTTCCCCCTTCAGAAGCTCAAAATGTTGTCGGTTGTAAATGGGTATTCCAGTTGAAGAGAAAGGCAGATGGCTCCATTGATCGCTACAAGGCACGACTTGTTGCCAAAGGATTTCACCAACAACTTGGGCTAGACTATGGTGAAACTTACAGCTTGTGGTCAAACCCACTATGGTACAACTTGTCCTCTCTCTTGCTCTTTCTGAGGTTGTCTACATTACACAACCGCCTGGTTTTATTCATCCCCAACATCAATCTCATGTTTGCAAGTTGCACAAAGCTTTGTATGGATTAAAGCAAGTCCCACGGGCTTGGTTTTCACGGTTGAGCTCCAAGTTAATTCAACTCGGTTTCATCAGATCCCGCTCGGACACCTCTTTATTTATTTATCGCCCCGTTGCTTATCTCATGTTGGTTTTAATTTATGTGGATGACATCATAATCACATGCTCTAGTCAAGAAGATATTCGGTCACTACTCCGAGAACTCCACAATGACTTCGCGGTCAAAGATTTAGAAAAAATAAATTATTTTCTGGGTATCGAGGTTTTGCCTTGTGACCAGGGAATTATACTCTCACAACAACGATATATTCTGGACATCCTCAAGCGCACAAAAATGACAGATGCAAAGCCAATTAGTACTCCAATGGCTTCCTCTACCATCTCTCTATTTTTGAAGGTGATCCCCTCTTGGATCCAACTCTGTGCAGAAGTATTGTTGGAGCCCTTCAATACGTTTGCATCACACTCCCCGATATCTCCTTTTGTGTAAATAAACTCTTCCAGTTTATGCACAAACCCACAGAGCTTCATTGGCAGTTTGTAAAAACGTTTACTCCGGTATCTCAAGCAAACCATCCAACATGGGCTTCAGTTTCATCAGACTTCATCCACTAATCTGCAGGCATTTTCGGACGCCGACTGGGCAGTTGTGATGACCGTCGATCCATTGGGGGTTATTGCATTTTCCTTGGTCGAAACTTAGTCTTGTGGAGTTGTCGCAAATAGCAAACGGTTGCCCGCTCAATCACTAAAGCCGAATACAAATCACTAGCCAATGCTGCTGCAGAATTATCTTGGCTCATGTCTTTATGCTCTGAAATTGGCAGTCACATATCTTATCCCCCAGTTCTATGGTGTGACAACATCGGCGCCACCTACCTCTCTGCCAACCTGGTGTTTCATGCGCGAACTAAGCATGTGGAAATTGACTTCCACTTCGTTCGTGATATGGTAGCCAAGAAACTTCTCTCCATCAAGTTCATCTCCAGCAAAGATCAACTTGCTGACATCTTGGCCAAGCCACTCTCTTCCTCACAGTTGGTATTCTTCGTTCCAAGCTCAACGTTCTTCCCATACCATTGCGCTTGAAGGGGCGTATTAGAGACTTAGTCAAACCCACCAACACAACAGTTAAACTAAAGGAAATAAGGATCAGGCTAAGACTAATTCAAGTGTATCTCAACCTCCCTAGTTTATCTCCTATTCTTATGTATAACCTCCCTAGACTATCTCCTACTCTTGTGTATACGATTATCCTCATACTATAAATACTAGACCTTAACCTGTATTATGGTAAGGTAGCCAACAGATTTATATTCTCTTATGGAATAAAGGTGATTCACTTTGACCTCTATGTAGAAAGAGAACTGCCTAAGCAACAGAATATTAGATGTTCTTAGCTGTTGAATTCTTTCATGTTTCTTGCTACTCATAGTCTTTGAATAAGTCACTCCTTCATCTAACTGCAAGAGCTGACTGACGTGGCGAAAGAATATTGACTTTCACGTAGCAACTTCGTGGAAAAAAAGTTGCCCCAATTGCAAAAATTAACGATTATTAAACCAAGCCTGAACATTCTAAGTAGTTGAATTCTTTGATTTTTTCTTGTTACTGAAAGTACTTGACTAAGTCTTCCCTTCACTAAAAAAAAAACTGCAATAGTTGACGGAAATGCAAAAAAAAAATATTGACTTCGTGAATCTTCCTAAAGAAAAGTGCCCTAGTGGCAAAAATGGTAACAATTTCGTGAATCTTCCTAAAGAAAAAGACCCTATGCCTAAATTATTTAGGCTTATTGGCAAGATTGCCCCCCATAAACTTCGTTCAAAATTCAGTTTGCTCCAAAGTTAATTCTTCTTCAATTAGGTAAAACTATCGAGGCTGGTTAGATGGTGCCCTTCAGCCATATTCCATCCAATTATTTAGTTAGAATGATCTTTTTTGGCTTTGATTTTGTAAATGAAAATTTTGAAACCAATCCCTCTCCTATTTTACAATTTTTCAAGTATACTCCCTTTTCTTAACGGTAAATCTGAGAGAAGCATCAAACTCATCTTGCTAGTTGGAATTCCAAAAGGAGAAAAAAAATTACTAAAGTGACCAAAAAAAAGGGCAAAATTATGTGGCGACTTGTTTTCAACACTATCATTTAGGATAAGTATTTGGTACCAAAAGAAGGAATGGCACTGAATGTCACGACATTTTTGAATTAAAAATATGAGATTTTGATGTTACGGCACAACAAAAAAATTTAAAATCTATCCTATTAAGTTTATGATTGTCTTAAATGATAGGATTGATCCCACCAAACTCATTTTGTTGTAACTTAGTTTAAGAAGTTACAAATTTTGACATGACACCAAAGAATAATGTTTTGGTATGGTAGCTTTTCACTACCATTTATGCTGCTGTATGAATCATACATGTAATATTACATACCAACCACCATGTAGTCATGACAGAATCCAAGTGATTAGGAAAATAAGTGGTGGCTGTAGTTAACATCCTCACCGTGTATGAACTATAAAGCCACCAGTTGTCTCTGTCTCTTTTAACAATACTAGGAACTAGTCAGAGTCAATTCTTTGCATAATGAAGGAAGCTTCCTTAGAGGGAACCTATGACACAAACTGTATTTTTCTATGGTAAGAATGCCAAGGACTCTGATTTTATATTGTTTGTTGGAGATCAAACATGACAACGTCAAAATGAAAAACTCTATTAAGTTGTCTAGTTTGCGTTGCATCTTCTAAAGATGGCATGGGATAAAGAGAGATTAAGGGCATAATAAGCTATATAAAAATCTGATTTTCGCTGATAGTGTTAGAACATATGCAAGTATTATACACACAACACACACACACACACACACAAGGCTTGAATCCACCCACAACAATAAAATATAAGAGTCGTAAGTATGGTGTGAGTATACAAAAGAAAATTTGCAGCCTACATGCTCGGGTGATACTGATACAACAGTATTTCCTGCTAACGTGTGTAAGGATATGGGTGTGACATTAGACATAATCCTCTTGCATGGCTTTGTTTTTATTTATTTCTCTAAGAGAAAGCAAAAAAGTCATGCAAAAGGTAATTGTAAAGGCTATTTAGTACAGGAAGCTGCGCATAAAAACGACAACTTCAATTGGAACTTGGGAAGGTGAGGTAATTGCAAAAGCGTAAAATTTTCAGATTCCTCATTAGAGCAAGTCTTATCATCGAGATTAGAAAAAGAGTACGTGTCATCTTTGTAGTGGTAAGGAACATAGAATGCAATGGGACTTCAAATAGGCATCTGTCCTCAATCACACGTTTTTTTTTCTTTTTTCTTTTTTCTTTTTTCTCTGTTTTGTTTTTTGGTCAGGAATACCCAAGTGTTGATTTGGTCAAGGTAAACGATATTGTGGTATATAGTACAAGAAGTCTAGTGACGAATAATGTCTTTAAATGTTGGTTGTCAAAGGACTCCACTCCTACAATTAAGCAACACTTTAAGTCAGTGAATATTCAGTTTGAACTAGCTGTCACACTGATAAAAAAAATTGATCACCACATTCTAATTGTTTTATTTGCATAATTACACACATACACTAACCCAGTTGGGACCTACCTTAATTATTGCAATCTGGGTTCTTATTCTAACGTTTCAATCCTTACCCCTATAAATAACAGCTTTGACAATGCCCTGAACTACCCAGCTTCAGAAAGTTTACAAAATGATGAGGAATAATACACCAACCCAGCTCGTATTCTCTCTCCTCGTCTTATTTCTTTCTCTAAAAACGTCCCTCATAGATATGGCCATGGCACAAAACTCAACAGTCCCCGTAAATGTGGGGGTGGTTCTTGACATAAATACCACGGTTGGCACTATATGGCTGAGCTGTATCTCAATGGCCCTCTCTGACTTCTATGCCTCCCATGGTTCCTATAAGACTCGGCTGGTTCTGAACACCAGAGACTCCAAGAGAGATGTTGTAGGTGCAGCTGCAGCAGGTACTCTCTCTCCCCCTTCCCCCAAAATTATACCTATATTTGGGTGTTTGTATGTGCCTCTCCTTTATGGGTCATCTTCCATCTTCCATGATCTTAATGACTTGAAGCATTGAGTGTCCTGAAGTATAATTTGTTCAAATTCAAACAGCACAGGCATGATAGTGAAATATTTGCACCATAAGTATGGGGCAATCTTCTAGCAGACACTTGATCTTAATCTTTGGACGAATGTTTCTTTTGTCTGATCACAGATGAGTTTGAATTTTCTGTCTAAAGATGTCATATCAAAACTTAATCAACTACGATCGCTTTGGTTTACCTGTGAATAGTTTGGCAGCATTGTTTTTAAGTTTTTTTATAAATTTTTAGCAGAATGGTTGGTTCAACCAAAAGCCAAATATTTAATCGCATAACCGAGCCTATCCTTTCGTTCGATCTTAGCAACCATGCCTGATAGGCCTGTCCTGTAGTTGTCTTGGCATTCTTGTTCACACCTAACGCCATAGTTCAATCTTTAACTCATGGCATTTTGGAGAATACATAATGGTAAAATGATTGTGAGGTTTTTGACTTCCGAAGATGTCCTTCTCAAAACCCAGGCTATGGTTGGAAGTTGGAAAGTCAGAATAAAACTTCTTCTTAAGAAAAAATTACACTTTAACCCTCTCAACTATAGTCCTACTTGACATTGTCCTTTCAACTATCATATTTTCACATTACACAGTGATTTTTAGTTTCACACTGCTCCATTCATTAATGTCCCTTTACAATTTGACAAAAAATTGTTTTACTTTGCACCCGATACTAGGCAATTTTATTTTACTTTGCCCCAACACTTGGTCATTTTTTGTCATAAAGTTAATGAATGTTTGTTTTTGGACTCAATGTGAAACATATTAGAACAGGGGAGGGAATAATGTAAAAATTCAAAACATTAAGGGCAACTGAGATTGGGGCCATATATACTTGTGATTTTCTTTTAGTATAGGATATCATTTCATTATGAATGAAGTTAAAAGTTCAAAGACTTTGATCAAAAAAAAGTTCAAAGACTTTGTAGCAAATACTTTAGTTTGTGTTTCAACTGTCAACATCAGTTGACTATTAACTATAATATTGGTCATTTGGTTATTTATTAACAATTCTCTGGATATCTATTAACAAGTGATATAGGAAGCACAGTAGTTATGGAAGTGCGGTCTTTCTGGTGTTTTTTTTTTTGTTTTGGCTAGAGAGAGTTCATGCTTGTGTCAATTATTCGTTCTCAAGGTCAGCGGATGATTACTATTACTTGAGTTGAGTTAGAACATGTCCTTAAAGAGACAAGAGTAATTAGCCCTTAAAAGGTGTGTGAATGAATTGAACCTGAAACCTCTGATTTATTAAATGTCAGACTACTACTAAGGGTATGTTTGTTAACACAAATTCAACACTTAAAATAAATGTATTTATCACTTATCAATTAAGCCTATTTGATAACTAAAATTTAAACTCTCTTAATATGTTCAGTGCTCCTTAAAAATATGCTACAATATATTAAGTAGGAGATCTCATACTTAATTCTGAATGATGAAAGCGCTCAGCAAAACCATCTTAATAATACTTATAATATAACAATTATACCCCGAAATATTTTACAATCCTATTAAAACTCTAATTAGTCTTCTCTTCAAAAACCCTTAACCTATATATTCTCTTTGTTGATCTTTTTTTTCTTTCTTTCTCTTGTCTTCTGTAACAAAAATATACATACATAATTATAATTATATACACAAACGCACGCACTGCACGCACACAATTGCACAAAGACATATGCATTGCACACACACACACACGGTGGACACACATATTGTTAATGAAATCTAATTTATTATATTTTTTATTTATTAGTTATTTTTTTTATCAGATGTTATTGTTCACTTATTATGTTGTTCAATTTGTTATTGTTTACTTATTTTGTTATTCAAATGTTATTTATTTATTTATTTTGATCAAATATTTGTTAAATGTAGAGTATAATATAATAATATTGATTATGATTTATGTTATGATATATTTTATAAATATTTTCAAATTAAAGAATGGAAGGATAAAATTAAAAATTAATTTATTTTCAGACGTCAGCTCTATGTAGTTATCAAACAGTTCAGTACTTAAATTTCAATAAATACCAAACAGTCCACAAATTCAACATTCAGCTTTCAGCTTTCAGCCTTCAACTTTCAGTTTTATCAAATACCACCTAAACCTCCCTAAGGGTTTGTTAAGAAAGTGTGTTTATGAAATTATTACAAGACGTAAAAGAATTGTTACAACTATAATTTTTTTTTTATTAGTCAAGGGAATCTATGGGGCTAATCACTTGGAACTGGAATTTCTGGAATGAGTGATCTCTTGCGTTAAACAATGGTTTATGCTCATATATTGAGGATTCGATCTGTTTTCTCCATTATGAATCTATGCTTGGTTTCCTAGAATTCCCAATTTAATATGATTGTGACGGCTGGCTCAATTCCCTTCTATAAAATGCAGCTTTAGGCCTAATGAAAAATGTTGAAGTCCAAGGCATCATAGGGCCGACAACATCTATGCAGGCCGACTTTGTAATTGATCTTGGAGGGAAAGCTCAAGTGCCCATTATTTCGTTTTCAGCAACAAGCCCTTCCCTTTCATCACTCAGGAGTCCATATTTTATTCGTGCAACCCAGATCGACTCTTCCCAGGTCGGTGCCATCAGTGCAATTGTAAAAGCATTTGGGTGGAGAGAAGTCGTGCCAGTCTATGTAGACAATGAGTTTGGAGAGGGTATTATACCATTTTTGACAGACGCCTTGGAAGAGATCGATGTTCGGGTTCCATATCGGAGCATCATTCCACCATCTGCCACTGATGATCAGCTTGTTGTAGAACTTTACAAGTTGATGACTATGCAAACCAGAGTGTTCATTGTTCACATGTTGCCTTCTCTTGGTTCTCGCCTTTTTACCAAAGCAAAAGAGATAGGAATGATGAGTGAAGACTATGTTTGGATCATAACTGACGCCATGGCTAATGAATTGAGTTCAATGGATCAATCCGTAATTAATTCGATGCAAGGGATTCTAGGAGTGAAATCTAATGTTCTGAGAACAAAAGAGCTTGAGAATTTTACCGTTCGATGGAAAAGGAAGTTTTTACAAGCAAATCCAACACTTGTTAATGCAGAGTTAAATATTTTTGGACTCAGGGCATACGATGCTACAACTGCATTAGCAATTGCAGTTGAAAAAGTTGGGGCAAAAAGTTTTGCCTTCCAAAAGGCAAACATTTCAGGGAAATCAACAGACCTTGAAACTTTTGGAGTCTCTCAGAATGGTCCAATGCTTCTCCAAGCGCTACAAAATACTACATTTAGAGGCCTCAGTGGAGATTTTTATTTAGTCGATGGGCAATTGCAATCATCACCTTATCAGATAGTTAATGTGATTGGTAATGGGGGTAGAGGGATTGGATTTTGGACCCCAAAAAATGGAATTATCAGGGAACTAAATTTCACAAATTCTAACACGGACTTCAGATCAAAGAGTAACCTTGGATCTATTATATGGCCCGGAGATACTACATCTCCTCCCAAGGGTTGGGTGATTCCAACAAATGGGAAGAAGCTAAGAGTAGGAGTTCCAGTGAAGGATGGCTTTAGTCAATTTGTAACAGTAACACGAAATCCTGGAAGCAACAAGACAACAGTTACAGGATATTGTATTGATGTTTTCGAGGCTGTAATCACAGCATTGCCTTATGCGGTTCCTCATGAATACATTCCATTTGCAACTCCGGATGGCAACAGTGCCGGTAATTATAACGACTTGATATATCAAGTATATCTTGGGGTAACTCTCTCTCGCTCCCCTATTATTTGTCAATATTCATATTGCATTATCATGAATTTTGTGTACACTATTTTTGTCGTTTGTGGAAGTGGGCTTCTCATAACATGCTAACTAGATATATGGACCTAACACTTTCGTTTACATGTTACAATTTGTAATCCTATTTCTCTCACTTAAAATATTAAATATTTTATCTAATTGCATGATAAACAGGACTACGATGTTGTCGTTGGAGATACAACTATTATTGCAAATAGGTCACAATATGTAGATTTTACTTTACCATACACTGAGTCAGGCGTTTCAATGGTCGTACCGATGGTGGACAATAAAGGCAAAAAAGCATGGGTGTTTTTGAAGCCATTATCGTGGGGACTTTGGGTGACCAGCTTTAGTTCATTTGTGTTTATTGGATTTGTGATTTGGGTCTTGGAACATCGAATTAATGAAGATTTCAGGGGACCTCCTTCACATGAAGTTGGCATGATGCTCTGGTTTTCTTTCTCAACCATGGTTTTCGCACACAGTAATTTCTCTTCCTCTTCATTGGCTTATGCTATGACCATGAAAAATGTGTGGTAATTATCCAAACATGTAGTTCATTGCATATTTGTATGTGAAAAGCAACACGCTTGCTATATAGGTCATCAAAATACATATCGAATTATGTTAGACTTTCTCTAATAGGTTAATCTTTCTCTGTAGTTGGTTATGCACATGGTTGACCTAAATTGTGATTTGTACGTGTTGAAGTATAAAAATAATTATGAGCAATGTTAGAGGGACCTAATTTAATTCAGTTATTAGATTAATTGTTAGTTCACTTGTTAGATGGATTGAATTAGAGGTCCCCATATTAAGTGCAAATAACATTTTTCAAAAGTTATATCAACATTTTATGCTTTTTGAGAAGACTAAACAAGAGTTAGGTTTATGAAATTGAATATGATATTAGGGACATATACATTGTGTTATTGGAGACTCAATTTTCTCTAAGAGAGAGACTTGCTTGCCTACTTTCCTATTCTCCAATGAGGTAGAAAATATTCAGGATTTTCTTTGGATAAGCTGCAATGCAAATATCTCTTTTAGAGTTTATATTGATGATAAAAGAATCATTTTTTGTAGAGGAGAAGGTGGTGAGCAATTTGGCTAGGTTTGTGCTGATCATCTGGGTATTTGTTGTACTTATACTGACCCAAAGCTACACAGCAAGTCTCACATCGATGCTAACAGTTCAACAGCTCCAGCCGATGGTCACAGATGTAAAGGAACTCATAAAAAAAGGGGAGTATGTGGGCTACCTAGAAGGTTCTTTTGTATTAGGACTATTGAGACGGATGAACTTCGATGAAAACAAGCTTAAGGTGTATAATTCTCCTGAAGAATGCGATGAACTTTTTTCCAAAGGGAGTGGAAATGGTGGTATCGCAGCTGCTTTTGACGAAATCCCCTACATTAAAATATTCCTTGCACAATACTGCTCAAAATATGCCATGGTTCAACCCACATACAAGACTGATGGATTTGGCTTTGTATGCAACATCTTTCTCTCTCTCTCTCTCTCTCTCTCTCTCATTGAGTTTTCTTTCAGGTGGGCTTCTTAGAATTTTTGAAATGCAGGTCTTCCCAATAGGTTCCCCTCTGGTACCAGATGTTTCAAGAGCAGTGCTAAACGTAACTGAGGGAGATAAGATGGAAGCAATTGAGAAAGAATGGTTTGGGCAACAAAGCACTTGTTCAGACTCTGGCCCCTCCTTGACTTCCAACAGTCTTGGCCTCAATAGCTTTTGGGGCCTCTTCCTTATTTCTGGAATTGCTTCAGTTTCAGCTCTCATCATATTTACGGGTATGTTCATCCGCGAGCACTGGCATGTCATCAAATGCTTTGATCCTCATACTTCAATATGGACCAAAATTGTAATGTTAGCTAGACGGTTTGATCAAAAAGATTTAAAGTCCCACACTTTCAAGACAAGCGAATTGCGAGATAGAAGTGGAATGGATGGTATCAATAGAATGAGCGCAATTGATGCTTCACCCCAGGTTAACTGCCCTACAAGTCCTTCCACCTTTACACTCCGTGCATCACCGAATACAAATGAGCCGCCAAGTCCATCAAGATTTTCACCCCATACTGAAAGGAACTTTTCTATCTTTAAAGAGCAAGAAACTCCTCCACATGAGTTCGGAGATAAAAATCCACCTCAGCAAACCACTCAGGAGATAATTCCAGCCATCGACCTTACTAGCCAAGATCAATATGTTCCTAGAACTGTAAACTCTGCAAGTGAAAACCATTGAAATTGACTTATATCTTCTTCTTTTTTTTCTGGCTAAGTAAATAAATATATGGATAGGTTTTGTTATCCCTTTTTTCTCACATTTTGTTTTTCCTTTGATTTTATTGTAATTAGAGGATAACTTCTCTGTAATGAAATATCATCTTACTGTTTGGACATAAAATAAATTAATTTTATGAATATTCAATGTATTGACATCTAACAATTTGAATGCAATAAAAAGATTTCAGGTGGCAAAATCCAAAAAAAGGTGGGAGATAGATTAGCCACAGTCTTGTTTGAAAAGAGAAATAGCTAATCAGAGGTTGCTATCCAACCACCGTTGATAGAAACAAAATCATCGAGAACAATGACTATAAAATGACATGTAGTGGAGAAGATGAAAGATACATTCAAACCCCCCTGACCCCACAAGACCCACGATTTGGGCATTTTTAGGAGTAGTGTTAGATTAAATTTAGGAGGCAATTACTGCAGCAACCAAAGCTATTAATCTAGTCTTTTCTATAACTGAAGTCTCTTTGATTGAATTAATAAAGGAGTTATCTTTTATTAGTTCCCTAAACTATGCGTTTGTCCATTACAATTCATCCAAAGAAGTCCTGGAATAAGACATTTGAACTCCTAAAAAATAATATTCTGAGAATTGTCTGTCGATTGGATTTCTTTCGTCGATAACAACAGATTTTGAAGCAACAATCTTTTGGCACACCGGATGGGACAACATAACTAACTTCGATTAAAAAAAATGGTTTGAACAAGGAAACAAGACAAGATTGTATTTGGTACTATGAAAAATATGGAAACACCGCCAATCAATGACAATCATGAAGCAAGTTCGAGTACCAATCATGTGAAACTGCAAATCCAGGAAATGACCAAATTAGTGGACATGATAATTTGCAGATGCAACAACTTGTGCAAAATTTGAAGCAGATATTGCATAATACTAATTATGGCATTAGGCAAGACTTAGTTAATGTCATGCATGAGTTAATAAGTGTCCAAACACCAATGTTAGGACAAATTAACCATTGTAGTTAGAAATCCAACAATAGAAGAAGGAAATACCAATCCTGTGGTGTTTCCTGTAGAAAACCAGAGACCACCACTAATGGTTAACAATGAAAAAATAGGCCCACCACACCAAAATCATTATAACATGGTGTTCGATGAGGAACCTATCAAAATGTTCCCTAATTTCTTCCCGGGAAGGAATCTTAGGGAAAGAAATAGACCAAGAGTGGTCCTTGAATTTCTTAGAAGAGGTTGTAAGAGGCATGATATGCCTCTAATGGAACCCATCAAGGAATTTAACCCAAGGGGAAGGTAAACTTTGCCTAGTTTGAAAATACAGAGGCCACCAATACATGACTTTGAATAGGAATCAACTAGTAGAGATGATTCAAGATTTGTATAGCCCTGGCCTTAGAAAAAGTGGTAGGCCTATGTTTAGAGAACCATATCCACCATGGATTGAGTATGAGGAATTCCCAAGGACATATAAAATTCCAAAAATTTATATTTACTTTGGTGAAGAGAATCAATCCACAAATAGAACACATAGGTAGGTTCACTTTCCAGTGTGGAAAAGTTTGAAATAATGGGAATCCAAAAATGAAACTATTCCCACAATTTTTAACAAAAACATTTGTTTGGTTCATAAATTTGCCTACCAATTCAATTCAAACTTAGCAAGAAATGGAGGAACAATTTCATTCTTAGTTATTTAGAAATGAACCAGAGGTTTTAATGATAGATATGTCAAGATTAAGGCAGAAGTCGAATGAATCTGCAGAACAATACATCCACAGATTCAAGAAAGGTAAAACAAATGCCATGTTTATTTGCCTGAAGTTGAATTGGTAAAACTAGCTCAGATTTTTACTTCGAATTAAGAAAGCAATTCGAAGGAATAGAGTTTAGAGATCTCTTTGAACTGTCAGCCAGGGCCACAAGATATAAAATGTTGCTCTAGGAAAAGCAACAAAGAAAAAATAGTTCACTAGGAAACTGCTTTCAGGACTTTAATGAAGAAGTTGAGATAGATGTGACAGATCATAAAAAGTCACCAATTATGTGTGACACCATGGAAAATGTTGAAGTCCCTATGAACATGTCATCCAACCATAATTTCAATAAGGATGTACCCTCAACCTTTAGGCAATATTCCTTTGATCTATCAATGGCTAATGCTTTGATTGATGAGATAATCAACCAAAAATTTATTGTCCTGTCTCAAGCACATAACATCCCACTAGAAAAATATAGAAATGGAAAAGAATACTTCAAATGGCATAATTCATATAGGCATTCAACTAAAAACTGCATTACTTTCAAAAAATGTGTGTAGGATCTAATTCAAAAGGGAATGCTTACGTATGCAACAAAAGAAGATGAAACAATTAGTGTAGACAAAGACTCATTCCCTAAAGAAGGTAGGTGGTTGGAAAGGAAAGATTTGTACCAAGATAAGAATACTAGTCTATAGTAGGCTGGGTCTTAGAGAAGAAGGACCATTGGTTATGTGCTTCAAATGTGCTAAAGAAATAGTCAAACCAGATGCAATACCACTAGATGATGTGGTAAGAGAATTCACTAATAAGGGTCTCTAGTTCAGTACTAGAGAGGAAGGAGATGTACAAATCTACAATGGCTTTGAAAAAATATTCGATGGTGCAAACCCAAGCATATTTACAATGCAAGAAAAATACCAACTTGGTCCCCATTATTTTCCTGAAATCAAGAGAAATCCAAGAAGCACTGGCCTTTAAGACCAAGCCAGAAAAGAAAGGTTGCAAGGGATGGACATTTCTATTGGACCATCAATGTCCAAGGAGAGTGTTTGACAAAGAATCAAACGACAAGAACAACAAGAAAAGCAGAGTTAGAAAAAGAAAGGTAGATTTGAGATCATCACAAAGCAGAGTTAGTAAATCCCCTTGAAGTTCATGATGAAAAACAACACCATGTTCAGCACTCAAAATTACCCTCTAGGGCATGGTACCAAGCACTTAGTAAAACCCAAAAAGGGAGGGAACAAAGAAAGCTTGCTGCTTTGATGAGTAGGCAAGATCATACTCCTATTGAGGCCTATTTAGGACCAAGTCCATCAATGGAAAAGAACAATCTCACATGGACCAGAGAACAACAAAAGGAGATCAAAGAAGTCCAAACGAAGCAAGACATCCTTGATTAAAAGATTACTGAATTCAACCAAATACTGGATCTATCTGAAGGAGAACCAAAGAAGATGCCAGAAAACCCATTAGCAAAATGGAAAGAGAAAGTAGAAGAAGAAAAACACATGCTTTAAGATGAGGAACTTATAGATTTTGAAGATATAGAACATCGCCTCGAAGATGATGCAAAATGCAACATACAACATGATATTGTCTCTACTTGAAGCATTCAAGGCTAGGCCAGGGCAGCCAAACCAACTAGAAGGAGATGTGAAAGATACCATTGAGTCAATAGTAGTCTTTGTAGAAACTGTAAAGAAATTTAGACATAATGGAAGTTCTGTAAGCATAGAACAAGGAGACTTGGAAAAAATAGAGTGGTGTTGCACTCTCCCAAGAAAGGTTGGTCAAATATTTGAGATCACTGTACATACGAGCCTACGTTGATAGTCAACCAATTAGCAAAGTTCTGGTTAATAATAGGACAGTGGTTAACATCCTACCCTCAAAGATGTTAAAAGTTCTGAACACGGGAGATGATTGAACAATCTTCAAGTGTATTTCCTCTGTAACAAGGAAGTTTTTTTTTGGTTGTATCTTTTAAGCCATTGAATGAAAACTTTAACTTATGTCCACTCATTATTTGCAACCAATGTTTGATGGTTTCCAAAATACTACCATGTAATGAATGAGTTTATGGGCTGTAGATAAGAAGAAATTCATTTTGTATTAATCAAAAGACCAACTGGCCAATTTACATATATAAGAATATAAAACTAGTCAGGTTAAACAATGTGGCTTCCTAAAATGCTAGACAAAGTAGAGCTTCAATGTAACTCATTCATTGGATAGTAGTCTCAATTATCGTTCGGCGTGCTTCAAACTCTCTGCCGCAACCAACAATTTATCATTGCCATCCTAGTAATCAGTCTGCAGTTCCTTAGTTTTCAAAAGCAGAATATCTCGTTCTTGCCTTATTTTTGTTCTATTCTCAACTATCTTTGACAACTTCTCCCTACAGTAAAATGGCATCTTGTTTCTTCAACTTCTCCTCACTTTCTTTACTTGAAGTAAGCTGAGGAGAAAAGTCTTTCACAAAATCAATAAATCATATATTACTCTTCACTTCATCTTGGACAAAATAGTAGGCCTATGAAAATTTGGTCTAACAATAACAATTAGAAGGAGATGTGAAAGATAGCATTGAGTCAATAGTAGTCTTTGTAGAAACTGTAAAGAAATTTAGACATAATGGAAGTTCTGTAAGCATAGTACAAGGAGACTAGGAAAAAATAGAGTGGTGTTGCACTCTCCCAGGAAAGAGTTGGTCAAATATTTGAGATCACTGTACATACGAGCCTACATTGATAGTCAACCAATTAGCAAAGTTCTAGTTAATAATAGGACAGTGGTTAACATCCTACCCACAAAGATGTTAAAAGTTCTGAACACGGGAGATGATTGAACAGTCTTCAAGTGTATTTCCTCTGTAACAGGGAAGTTTTTTTTTGGTTGTATCTTTTAAGCCATTGAATGAAAACTTTAACTTATGTCCACTCATTATTTGCAACCAATGTTTGATGGTTTCCAAAATACTACCATGTAATGAATGAGTTTATGGGCTGTAGATAAGAAGAAATTCATTTTGTATTAATCAAAAGACCAACTGGCCAATTTACATATATAAGAATATAAAACTAGTCAGGTTAAACAATGTGGCTTCCTAAAATGCTAGACAAAGTAGAGCTTCAATGTAACTCATTCATTGGATAGTAGTCTCAATTATCGTTCGGCGTGCTTCAAACTCTCTGCCGCAACC